TTCTTAGAATACGAAAACATTGGTGAATGCCACAAATTCTCCTAAATCACTCGTACGCACAACTTAAGAACAAATCTGTGCGTATGAACGGTTCTTGCATGAGGCCCATTGTTTTTTTTTACGTGTACAGACTTAAAAGTAATTGAATTGATACAAACAAGTTTAGACAACAAAAGTTAGACATCAAGTCCTGTAAAAAAATTGTAAAATTCTTATTTGTGTRCTGTAAGAGAGCATCACATCATTCATAGTCTTTGGCAGTGAATTCATCAGTAAATGACAGAGCACCATTCTTTACGTACCTACAAAAAGAAAATTAGCACAACGTTTGAGATTAGAGAGTATGTATTCTCATTTTTTAATTAATTGTCCTTAAGCTCAAAACCTATAAAGCACAAAAAAAAAACAAAAAAAAACTTTTTAAAGACTGTGGCAAGACTGTCTTTATTCCAGCATTATGTTTATTGTAAATACATTTTAAACTGTACCATCTGCATCTAAATGCTTTCCACTCCTGTGTGTTTTACTTTCTGTCAGGGCATAAAGGCACGTATTCTGGAGACTTTTGTGATGCTCTTCCTTCTGGCTTTGCTCATTCTTGGCATAGTGTGGGTGGCATCAGCCCTAATTGACAATGATGCAGCCAGTATGGAGTCACTTTATGGTATGTGATTTATCAGTAATGTTTCTTTGTATTTGTAAATTTTGTGTATTTTCAAAAAAGTTTTATTCAGTCTTTTAATCCTCCTGTTCACTTTGTTGTAGATTACTTTATCAAATAATAAATCCACTAAAAAGTTTACAATAAATCCACTAAAATGTTTACAAATCAAACTTGTTTTTTGCAGATCTTTGGGAATTCTACCTGCCATACCTCTATTCTTGCATATCTCTGCTGGGAGGACTGCTTTTACTGAGTAAGCTGATTGATTTATTCCATGAAACAAACTATCACAACAGTTGTGATGCTCAAGCACAATTGTTAATCTTAATATTTTCTGTTTTCTGTGAAGTGTGCACTCCTGTTGGGTTATCCAGGATGTTCACGGTCATGGGCCAGTTACTAGTGAAACCAACCGTAAGTATTTATCTTGATCTAACATTTACATAAATAAGGTTAGAGTCAGAGTCTCCATAAAGTTTTAAAGTATGTGTCAGATTTAAGACTGCTCAATCTGTTGTGCCTCTCAGGTGCCCATTATAATGCATGACAGAAGACTACAAATACATCACCTACTCATCCTTCCATCTGCCATTGCTCCAGTCCCACTTTAGACCTAATTATAACCCATTTCATCTTTTCCTACTCTGCTCCCTCCCTTTAGATCCTAGAGGACCTAGATGAGCAGATTTACTGCATCCATTTGCAGGAGGAAGCCCTTCAGAGGAGATTAAACGGTATGTCTGTGGGAGACGTGTTGGCACGTTATAGACAAGGGTAGAGGGTGACTGCACTATTGGGTGTGATAAAGCAGGCCATGCTGAAATCAATTAGCATTGAAAATTTAGCTTGGCAGACAGCTGTAGGGGTCACCTCGAGTGAAGAAACAAGATTTACTGCCTCGAAGCAGGCCTCGGACAGGCCTGACGAGAGGACAGGCACTCTGTCACAAACTGAACTCTATTTAGGCCATGACAGGTCATTCTAACCGTGGAAGATGATTAAGAGAACTGAGGGGTTCTCTTCCACGGTTAGAATGACCTGTCATGGCCTAAATAGAGTTCAGTTTGTGACAGAGT